TGAGTTAAAGAGAATGTACCCAAAACTTGTATCAATACTCTCAGTCAGTCAGTGACAACGTAGAACTTCGTACGTACGTAAGTACATCAGTTCGACTTACCATACCACATTGGCACAGAGATACAATTGTCGATTGAAATCCTGTAGTGGTAGAAGTAGTAAGATTATAAGCAGTAATCGGAAAGATTAGAGTTTGAAGATGTTATTCAAGGAGTATAATACAGTGAAAAGAAGGGACATGAAGAATTCAGAAGATTATGAATCAATACTCCGAGTGATTATAAACAAACGAAAACTGGGAAAATATAGACTTTTGTACAACAAAAAAATAGAAGCCCTACAGTTGACGCTTGTCTAATTGATTATTCTGAACGTATTATTACTATATTACACTAATGCAATAAAGAAAACCGATATGAGAATAAGGGTGTTAAGATCACAGACTTTAAAAAATCCATATTAACAATATGATGGATACCCATCTATAAAGCATTAATTCTTTTAGTTAGTTGCTTGTTAAAACGAAAGAAAAAAAAGACAACTAAATATCAATAAACGCACCCAATTTTTTATAAGACAGAGAGAATGATGGTGACATTTGTACTTGTTTTTTTGTTGATAGTTAGACAAACAGATATAAGAATAGACATAAGCAATGTGCACTACAGCACAACTTAGGCTATATTAAAAGAAAAGAGGATAATGAAATAAAAATTTGATTGATTACATGTTCAAGTATTTCAGGGAAGGAAGCGAATACAGCAGTGGGGACCTTCTCTTTGACAACAATTAGACCATTATCGACAGTTCATCATATTTGTATGAGGGCTATGATACTGCACGGGTGCCCAAACCGAAGCAGGTGGTTTTCTTAGGGGACCACACCCCGAGCCTTTGACCTAAAGGTTTGATCCACAACGCAGTGGAGCATCGTAGCGAGATGCAGTCACATGGTAGCCGGTGACCAACGATTGGTTCAAACGCCTTTGTTCCTTCAGAATACTGGAGCCTATGTGCACCATCGGTTTGGAATTCGGTTAAAGCGCCGGACATTCGCTTTTCGTCCTCTCATTTACGTAATCAACACCCCCGCCACGAGAAGGCAGTGAGTAGGACTTCCCTGGCAGAGGCTATATATGCGTCGCCATGTGAGAGCATTTCGAGAGGGAGGGCCCACCCCACTCTCGACCATACCAGGGTATTTGGAGACAACAATTAGGCCGCACGATGTTATCGATGGGCTCACCACTTTAGTGGCCCAGGATCTGACTCTAGTAAGATCATATGGATGATTGTTATTGAAGTAAATATATCGTCAATCCTCGTAAATAATTATCGACCTAGATCGGGTAAGTGAATAACGGAATTAAATAAACCAAATACGAGAATGGATTTTGAATATGTATATTTCATGGACTCATTGATTTGAACAGGCAATTGGGGAATGAAGTGAAGCGAAATGACGCGCAATGAAGGCATATGAGCCAACTCCCTTTAACCGAGGGTTAATCAATACTTATAGTCACACAAGAATAAGCTACATACATGTGATGAATAGGATAAGAAATGTACACACACATATACATACGCTCATATGAGAAGTCAAAGTTGATAAGTGAATAATTAAAAAAAATGTGACTCGAGTAGAATGAAGAGATTAGTCTGTTCGAAAGCTAGAATAAGGTATATAGGCTTAACATAGTAACTGGCACCACACTTTCATCATTTCTCCGGGAGCTCCTTAACTATATCTCTGTACTCCATAAATCCACAAAGTAATCTTACTCCCGTATCTAACATGGATTTCAAACAACTCAAAATAATTCACATTATCAACATAAACACAAAATTAACAAGGAAACTACTCTTAATATTCATCGGTAAATAAACCTCAGCAGAAAAGTATTTTTAAGAAATTAAAATGCGTGTAAAACTACATCATTGTTATTAAGATTAAACAGTCGAACAGGAACATTTCTTTTTCATGACAAGAATCAAACAAATTATATAAATATCTCAACCCTATATAAAATCAGCCAGTGCTAAATAACTCAATGGTAATATCTAACTATGATACTGTATGATCGGATCCTACAATGGTTATCAGCTTCTTTATGATTGAAGACCTACCTTGCTAATTAGCATCAATCTTGGTCAAGAAGAATTTCCTGTTGACTGATGTTAACCATCAAATATCTTCATGACAATGTATGATCACACATCTAACAGACAGCTTGAGAATAATTCATCTGCCTGATTTATCAAAAAACGGCCTTATTCATTTTGATTTTTGGGCTTATCTTCAATAAATTATCATCATTTGGAATAGTTAACTTCAAATACTAACTAAAAGCATTTCGGCCATAAAACCAGTGTATGGTGTTTTGAAAAGAAGTTTTGTGTTTCAACCCATTGATTGTTACTCAATCTCACTCTAATCATCAAGGATCTATTCCATTCACACTAACAAACTATCATTTGTTTATGGTTCAGTATTAATAGTGTTTTTTTTCTAAAATGGGAATCTCTTAGAGCTGTCAGGAAGCTAGTTATTTTACTTCTAAAATGTTATACTGAAGTGTTAGACTTTGGAAATACGGGTTCCATAGCTTTTCCTGTTCTCGATAACAATTGTAGCCCCATTAAAAAAATTCATTTTATACATGATTTTACTTCTAAAATCTAGACGAATGTGTTTGTGGAAGTGAATACTCAATAGAAGGTTGGATGTTTATTCGGTTGGGATTAGTTGACTTATTGATCACCAACAAGCTTAGAAACCCGGCTATGAGCAATCCATTGATTGAATAAAGACTAGTAATACTACCTGAAGTGGAGTTCGAACTTGAAACCTAATAATAGGTTGGGAGTTGACTATTTAAACCAACTGTTTGCTAAATAACGATTGATTGGTGCTGTACAGTATATAAAATGTAAATGATGGGGAAAATGTACCATTCTGTATTATCAAGCTCTGAATAAGAATTGACGAAAATACATCAACAGAATGATGATGATAGGAATACCAGCAATATGTTCGAAAAACAAGAAGAGCTGCATAGTTAATATTGATCCATATCACTCAAAATTAAAGTAGAACTCGATACAACAATACACAAGCCGAAGTCACCATAACACATAAGCACAACAATATGAATAGTATTTCAAATAATAATAGAATAGACGGAAACGACGGACTGAATACTGGAAATATATTCCGAAAAGGTAAATATGAATAAATATATTGTGAGCCAAGAGCTGGAGGAAGACGGAGAGTGAACTCATCTAGGACATGTCATACATCTTCAGTCAATGATCATACAGATCCTAATAATGTAGTCAGTATTTACCAACACGGGTTTAATCTAATGGTCAATGATTTCCCGAACTGACAGCACGGTTTGGTTTCATCACCCTCGACTTTATTTCGTGGATTCCAACATGGTAGTATAAGTAAAAATGACACTAGGTTAGCATCTATTAATTAACCCCAATTTAGTGGGTAGTCTAATTGAAACATTTGTGAGATGATGATAAAGTTTGATGAGCGCTTATATGCATTCATAAAACAATTTGAGGAATATCTGATACTATAGAACACCTATGTACTAATGAGGAAAATTTAGTTATTAACCCGAATTGATTTGTATCTTCTATTAAGTTAATCTTTCATTAACAAGTCATCCTTTAATAGATACCCACCCAACATCAAGAAAAGACTAAATAGAAAATCTTTTGTGCGAAGTCAATGAAGATATTTTACCTCATCTAAACTAACTAACAAAAAATTACCAAATAGTATCCATTACAGTTAGGTGATTAATTGCAACATACATATTACTAAGTGGTTTGTAGTATATTTAAGCCATGGAGCCAATGTATAAGAAACTGAAGCATAGTGTACGTATAAATCATCTGCTGAATTAACGATAAACTACTATAGTGACACTATTTGGAATCATTTGATTAGCTTTGAGTTAAACATGTACATCATTTTCGAATACAGCCAATTGTCCAGTAGATCTTTCTCAGTTTAGTTGGAGTGCATATAATATCAAAAGTACATTCAGTTCTATCATTTAATAACTCACTGAAACAAAATTATTTTTTAATGTTACATTCTGACTAGCTGGGAAGACCTTAGAAGACTATAGAGTCAGTCAAACGCAACTCAGAACGTGACACATGGGTAGATCGGTTGCCACACATCATTAACATCCCATAGTATAGGTAGTAACAGGCATTGAAGATATGATTCAAAAAATATAAATCAGAGGAACAAAATTTTTTATGAGGAGTTGAGAAACTAAGAGTGAATGTACCTCTGTCATTGTGAATAATTCTAGACTATGTCACTCAAAGTCTCTAATCACTGGTTACGATAACCATGTGGACCCCAAACGAGTAATTTACACCTACAGCCGGTGACTTAATGGACTAATGTCACGTTTTGGTCTGGTCTCCCTCATCTTCCTCCCAACCTATTCTTATGCCATTCATCCATGCGCATCGAGGTAGTCAGTGTATGGGCATACGTAATAAATATTCTAACAATCTCAGTAGATAAAGATTTACCACTTCGTCAATCGATTTGTCATACTTACTTAGTACTCTGCGCGTAGCCTCAGGATTGCGAACTCAACGATCCTAAAACATACGAACAATGGCTCGAAGAAACCAATGATCGAATACTAGTAACTTAGGAGTATCCCTTATTTTTAAATTCCATGCTTAGCAGCCATAAAGTAGAATGGAGAGAACTGGTTGATAGTAGAGCTACAGAAAAAAGTCAAAACCATGTTGTCTTACAAAATACGTATGAAAAGAGCGAAAAATAGGGTGAAATATATTTACGTATGAATTGACAAATAAATATTTATGAGACTGTACAACTATGGTTATGGTTCACTTTATACCGACATGATAATAATAATAATACCAACAATCACATGAAATAATTAGTTTCAAATATACATGATGATACTTGTTAAATAAGCCATTCATCTCTCTGAATACCCAAATTCGCAAGAATCACTAAAAATGAAAATGAAATGAGAGAACTAACAAATGGTTTTGATAATGGAGAAACATCAGCAATTAATAAAAGTCTAAATATCTTGCCCTGTCAACTGGAACAACACACTCCTGGATCACTTACATGGTATTGTCACTAAACAAGAGGAAACTCGTAGGGGTGATGTTCAAACAGCCTCCCTTTTGATAGACAAGTTTCATAAGGGTTAAGTAGAACTATCTGCATCCCAGTGTTATTCACTAGACTGAGGTAATAACAGAGCTAAGGGGCCAATAGTGCCATGCGCAACTCTGGCCCTCACTGTGTAGTTTGATTTTATTTGCCATGTCAGTATAACCATTGACACATTTATACAGGTACGTAGACCTTTTAATACGTCATCAGAAATTGGATTTCGGCATAAAATTTAACTAATTTCATTAATACATACTGATGATGTACAATACTTGTCATAAACTAATTGTTGACCTCCAATTGATTATGTATTATTTGAGTAGTTTACTTGTCACTTCATTGTAACATACTACCTATTCACAATCGGCAAGTTTCTCACCAGACAAGCCTACAACAATATCAAGTATGTTATTAAAAGACGGCTTTAGAATCCCACTTATCACAGCCAATTTGGAACAACAGAAATAAGTGATAGTATTTTTTTACAAGGTACTCAGGACAGTTATCGACTTCCTACATATGCTCCTGAAACACTGCTGACTATACAGAGGTGTGACAGCAGTAAGGTGTTTCCTTCAGACAACCAGCATGCTGCCTTCCCACAAGGAGGGGTGGGGTTAGAAAGGGTCGACCCTAAAAATGCACACTTCGCCTTATCCCACGGATATCCGTCTCCGGTGGTAAGGTCTCAACAAGTACGGAGCTAACACAAAAATTACCCATAAAAAGGTGGTGTGTGACCGACCTCAACCAGTTGTCCCTTGAGCACTGTGGTCACACGCCCAGGTCACTAAGACCACCTCTAATCCAATTTCCAGAAGAACCCTTCCACGGTGTGAGCAACCGGGAAGTGATAACCACCCTCATACCTTCAACAGCACTCAAGAAACACTGCTTTGTCCCATTGAAAGCATTTAATGATATCATGGCTAGATTATATTTCGAGGCTTTAAAAATTAAAACATTTTTATATACCAATTTACCTGATTAAGAGTACATAAAAGTGCTAGGATAGAAATAATCAAAACAGTTGACACAAAAACCGATTTACTTTGCATGAGATTGTTGACGAGGAAAGACAACCGAACGAGCGTTACAGTTGCTTGGCTGAATTAAAATACGCTGGTTTGTTGGTTGACTACTCGACAATCGAATTCCAGGGGATATAGTAGGCGAAGTCACAGACTTTAAAATGTTACTAGCTGTATTATTTACAGTCCCAGGACTAACAACTTTTAGGGGACGGTTTGTTACAGATACATATTTTGAGTGGGAACCAATAGGTGTTCGTTGGGATGCGAATGATACATAAGGAACCGATGGATTTGAAGGACATACTGACGAGTTAGTTACAAGAGAACCACTTCTGTTTGGTCGCTGGGTAGTAGGTAAGTTATTGAAACTAGCAGCAACTGGTGTGACTAGATGAGTATTTGAAGTGATTGTAGGCGGTGATCCTGGATTACTAAGGCTTGATTTCAAAGTATTTCCAGAAGAACTTAGCAGCCGTGATGAGGTATCATTATCGCCACTAGGAGTAGCGGAAGTGGTTGTCTTTGAATGAACTGAAGGAATTTGGTATTGCAACCTGGGTTTAGTAGATATAAGAGATGATTGACCAGACAGATGACTGTGGTTCGTCTCTACTTGGTCATGCGAAATCCAATGATCTTCCTAAACAGGGAAGTAATATAGACTTTATTAGAGTTAAGGATTAAAACATTTTGATAACTGAATGTATAATACGTCCTAAAGCAACAAATCGTCACAACATCAAGTGATGAATCTAGCAGTATTCTGTCTCATATTAGCATTGAATATGTAATGGTTATGTTTAACATTTAAGTACTTTGAGGCTATCTATGAATAATAATTCGTACGCCTCTTATGTTCTCAACTTTCGAAAGGCATATTTTACACCTATTAGTTAGGATATTAGGATTATCAGAGACAAAACAGGAATAAATATTTTAGCATGTAGATAAATTCAACTTAAACTTACATTTTCTTGTGCTGAGATTGAATTCAAAGCTAATAAACTGGTTGGGTCACTGTGGAAACCCGCATTGTCGTTATGATCTATGAATGAAAAAAAAAACGAGACTTTATAGTTTAAACTCTAATCAAAAGTTTTGCTTGAGTCAACGAACACAACATCAACAGACGGGCTGTTAATTTACTTTTCCTTAATACACTTTTAAAGTGACGTTTGTTGGACAGAACTATTGTGAAAATCATGGACTTTCAGAATCAGTACGATATACTTATGATCAGTGGTTGAAAGCAATGTACATTATTCATTAATTATCACAGAAGCAGATGTATTCACTCTTTATTGTCCTTTAGGTTCTGAGTTCCAGTATTCAATCAAACATACCTCTTAGTTTCTTATTGAACCATAATCTAGATGTTAAATACTCGCTCCTTTGCAATTACTTGTATCAATTTCATTTGTGGTATGAGAATCCAGGCTGACGTACATTTGTGACAGACTAGGCTGATCATGACTAACTGACCAAGATACCCTTAGTGACTTACCAACTACCAATAACATTAAGAGTGGTGGGTGAACCCAAGTTACCTCGCATTATTTGAAAATGGATTGTCCTTATATAGCATAATTCCTTAGGAAATGAGACATGGATACTGAATACTGACTAATTACCAGTTAATGCAAAGAATAATATGGCATGTTATATATTAAAGACTGGTGACTCATGACGCTTGACATTAACAAGGTTTCATTTGGATGGATCTCACTGCATAAATACGCAGCCAATGTGAAGTACTTTCATATTTATCTAAAGTGATCTGAGATTTATTGATAGTGAACATTAAAAGCGAAGTCCTGATCACATTTTGCCTCTTCTCAGTAGACCAACCTATAGTGATGGACTGTTATGTCGAAGTGAAACCCCAGGGACAACCGATTTTATTTTAATAAAGTACAACGAAAAAGAGTATAGTACTTCTTTTCTTAGCAAAAAATATCTACTTCAGTGGACTTACCAGCGACAGGCGGGTCACTCTTTATTTTTTTTAGATCCTGGCAATTCTCGGAAAAATTCACAGGACGTTTGTTGCCGGTTGAGATAACCGATCTAAAGTGTTATAAGCAGACAGAAACCTACTTTTGAAAAGGTTTGGAGTCGTCTCTGACAGCGTTCCGACAAGTAGAATGATTATTGATTAATTCATCCAGTAGTAAACTAAAATTATAAGCCGTAGTTGACGAAGACCCAAGAACTTACTCTTTCTCACTAGAAACTATGCGGATAATATTGTTTAACTTAGTGATTTCGAATTTCAGAGTCTCATTTATCTTTAGACATGTAAGAAACCAAAAGACGAACACACTTACCACGATCTGTTGTTTGCACAAGTTCTTAAGCATTTCATATCTTTCCTCTATTGAGTCTTTAAGTATATAAAAGCATTTTTATTTATAATACCTTGGGATAATTCCTTCATTTCGAGGAAAACAACGTTATGTCCAAAGCGGCCAGTCAATCGGAAAGCTTGTTGAGTCCACACAGGGACTAAAATACATGAAATTATGAAATGGCCAAGTTTCGTAACGAATTTCAAAACCGGATGTACGGAATAAGATGGACTTCATCATCAACTGATAGACGAGAAAGTGAATGTTGTAGAGTAGATCGAAAATATTTTTTTATACATCATTATTCATTATTTGTTGATAGAAAGTTGAGAACAGTTTATAATAATTTGTTTTAGTTTATTTCAAAGTGCGCGCTCTAGCCAGGGCGCAAAATCGATTCTCCAAGAAAAACGTAGTAGGTTCTGTGTATGCACTCAACTAACAGATAAATAACTCCATCCTTTTTTCTTTCCGGTTTGATAGTTTAAATGTTATACATTCATTAGATGTACATTGTCTGTTCTCAGAAATGACGGCAACCCGTTTTAATATTAGGTCGGTATATTTCTATACATAAAATGCAACGGTACATAGTTAACGATACAATGCAGGTGGGTCTCTAGTGCAATACTCTAAGTGTTTAGTTTGGTCAGTGAAAGTGCCAGTCTGATACGGCGTTTTCATTAATGTCACAAATACGTTAAGTATTCCTGATTCAGATTTGTGTAGCAGGAACAGAAGACATACAGTTTCAGTTTGGGAAGGACAGAAGGCTCGATGGCCTATGTTAGTCCTGGCAATGGTGGTCTCTCAGTTGATCCAACTTTCTTTTGAAAGAGTCGACGGATGGAGCCTCATCCACGTGCTGAGGTAGTGAATTCCACTCGTTGATGATTCGATGGGAAAGTAATTTGTTCTCGGCTTGTGAACTTTTTTTTGGAGTGTCCTCGTGAATTCTCTGTTTTGGAAGACCAGAAAAATGAGGGCGTGTTAGGTGCAAATTTATCACTAAGCAATTTGTAGACTGTAATCAAGTCGCCTCTAGTTCTGCGATATGACAACGGGAAAAGGTTCCGCTTGGCCAGTCAAGATTCATACGGAAGCTTCGCTATTCCGGAAATCAGCTTAGTCGCCGTTCTCTGAACCTTTTACAGAAGCTCACTGTCTTTTTTTAAAGAATGGGCTAGCCGCTTGTATGCAGTTTAGGACGTACGAACATTGTATACAAAGTCAAAAGCATCGACATGACTAAAAGCCCTACGTATTGACCATAACGTTCTAAAACGTTTGGCGGCTATTGCACGGCAGTGTGCAGTAGTTTTTAAGTCTTGACTAACAATAACTCCTAAGTCATTATATGTCTGGATGACAGGTAGCTCAGTGTTATTCATCGTGTAAGTATCTGTGCCTTGATACATACACGATGAATACGCCCTGTGTTAGTTCTTTCTTTGTAAGCTTTTGACAGTGTCCAGTCAATTGGGTGTGATATTTCGTTTATTCTTCGCTTTTCTAGTCGTCCGCTATGTCCTCTGAGTTGGGAAAATCTAATTTTCTACTCATTGGGATATTACAAATATATTATTTTTATTTATAACCTATGGTGTAGTTTATTTGGTCTTGTCGTTTTTAACGTATCTTAAGTGCTAACGGCATTTAGTACATCGTCTCCATGAAAGTTAACGATTAGCAACTGGTTTTGTTACTCTGTATTTGGGTCTAGTTCTTTATTTAGAAGAAACTTGTGATTGAAAGCTCCCGAAATAGTTCACCATTGCCTCGAATATGTCCTGATCATCATCTATCATACACTCCCTTTCGTAATTAGGTTGAGAATCTAATACTGCGTTCTCGTTCTGTAATTTATGTATGAGAACAGTTAGGCTGCTTGATTATCGATAGTTATTCAGCTGCAATGTAGGACCAGGCACACATACGCATCGGTTCAACATGCTATATCCCATTAGCACAACAAGATCAACACCGAATTCCTAGTAGTCACTTCAATTGTAGTAATATACGAATGAACGAAAGAAAAAATTAGTTGGTAGAAAGAAAGATATGAAGCAATTTCAATCTCACCGTTTAAGAGAAGACGAAGGGTGTATACACCATCATTGTGATCGATTCAGAGCCGTGTCACCCATAGTCTCCAACCATTGGTTACGATAGTCACGCGGACATCAATTAAATAGTCTGCATTTACCAACATGGCTAAGACTAGAAGTTAGTGACTTTACAGACTGGTGCCACGTTTTGGTTTGCCCTTCTCTAACTTTCTTGCATCCCTCTCCATCACTATTCAGCATTACGCATCGTGGTAATCTGTGTCCAGGCATGCGTAACACGTGGCCCAATCATCTCAGTCGATGAAGATTCACAATTTCATCAACTGATTTACCATCATCCCCTAAAACCCTGTGTCTAACCTCTCTGTTACCTAAACGGGGGAGAAACGCATCCCAAACATTCTGGCATTGTTGTTTAACGCTATCACAAGACTTCATTTTATCAACGCCTCCACCAAACAGGACTATATCATCTGCGTATTCTAAGTCGATAAGTGGGTGGGATTTCTTATGTGCTGGAATAAAGTTAGAGCGATTGTGATGTCTAATAATTTGCAATCAAGTGGTGTTTTCGATGACCTTACTTCCGAATTTCCCCAATTTATAGACTGCATTAAAGTCACCTACTATGGGACCTTCACACCTGTTTGACCAAAATGTGAGTTTACTTAGGAGTAAGTCATTCTTTTCACATTTTGGACTGCGGTATACCACAACGAATTCAATATTTTTGCGTTTACATTTCAGCAGGCAACGCACTAGTTCACGTGTCCCTGAGTCGTTTGCCACTGTCTCGACGGTTCTTAGTTTAAGGTGCTTTTTGTGTTCAAGTTAACCCCACCACCCCTACAGTTTAGTCTATCAACGCTACTGAGTAACAAAACCCATCAACTGGACTCCACTGTCATACACTGACGTTAACCATGTTTCTGAGACAGCAATGACATCAAGGTTTTCTATTTCCTCCATTTTCTTGAGCCCTGCCATTTTATTTTGTAAGCTGTGAGCATTCGTGTAGCACACATTTAATTCTGTGAAGAACTTCCTCTTACCACCTAAAATGGTTCGGGGATCTTTTCACTCCGAACTTTTACAAGTTGAAAACCCTTAAGTAAGTGGCTTTTTTACTGTTTCGCAGGCGCTCATTTATTTCTACATCTGCTTATCGTCTCTTAATACGACCAACCAGGCTAAGATCCTTAAGGATGTATGTTCCGGATCCAATTAGTTTGCGTGGGTTTTCCAAAAATTAGGTTCCTTTCTTCAGCCGAAGCAAAGGTAACCTTTAGGAGGCGGCTTTTCTGCATACTTTCAGAATCCACTCTTTGTCCTATTTTATTAAACCCATGAATGTTGACTCCTGCTACTGTTTCTTAAAGTAGCTTGCTTATTAAAGACTTACTTCGTCTTGGTATTCAAACCTAGCATTCAATTTCTTTTCCGAAGACTCAACTTATGAGAAATGACTGACTTGGCAAGGTCCGTCTTAGCAAGCTGTGGAGTTTTGTTTCCTGAACTCTACCTACAGTCCGATTTGGCGTCAAACTCAAAGGTCATACTATGCTTTTCCTGGGTGTGACTGTAAGACAATCATTGACCTTATTTTGTCAAATGATCTACACCGTTCACGCTTTGATTATCCATAGTCTATTATTATTATTTGAACATATATATTGGTACAAGAGTGCGCCGAATATATATGCGCCACACAAAACAATGAGAATCTAAGAAGAAAAAAGTGAGGAACGTAAAGAATAAATAATAATAATTCAAAAAAACAATAACGAAGAGATTGGTGTAAGGTAGTGTAATAATAATAATAGTAGGGGAACAGAAGGGTACAATCAGAGGAAATCTTTCAGTTGAGGAAGATACAACCACTTTTTATGAAGAAAGTAAAAGAAGGTTACAGCAGGATCGCCACCGGCTTCTATTCTGAGCCATATCTGATAACGTCTCTAGCCACTGTGTAGCACCATCTCTCGGACCCCAACCAGGGAGTCGTGAAGGACCGACACAAGCCAGTCCTTTGCAGCTTTCTTTCATACCACGACATCGTGTCATATACTGACCACCTCTCCACTTTTTCCAACCAGTTCCAGAGTCGGCAAATAATGCACGACGCGGAATTACCTGAGACGACGATCGTAGGACATGTCCAAGCCACCGAAGTCGGTGTTTCGAAATGGTGACACCAATTGAATTATCGTCTCTGTGCCCGAACACACGATGCCGAACCTCTGCATTACCAGCGTGGTGTTGTCACTGGATGTCAGCAATCCTTCGGAGACAACGATGATAGAACACAGAGAGTCGTCTAACGTCCTCAACTCGAAGAGGCCAGGTTTCACAAGCATAGAGCAGAAATACTCTCATCGACGCGTTGTAGATCCGACCTTTTACGGGCAGACTGACATCACGAAGGCGCCAAAGATGGCCCAGATTGGCATAAGCCACTCTGACTTTCACCATACGTGCATTGATGTCATCACTCACACCCCCATCAGCACTTATGCAGCTACCCAGATACACGAACTTCTCGACTACGTCTATCTGCTCACCATCCAGGGTGAGTACGGGATTAAGATCCTGCCAGTCTTGTAGAAGTACTTTGCACTTCGAAGGTGCAGAGCACATACCATACCTACGGACACTGATTGCCAACTGATTAAGTGCGGATTGCATGCGTTGGGCATTATTGCACAGTAAGACAATATCATCCGCATACCCAAGGTCGATAGGTCTTTCTCCAGACAACAGGTTCACACCGCCATTACTTACATCCATCAGAGCTGTTTCCAGAATGTCATCGATGACAAAATTGAAGAGGAATGGTGAGATTGGGCAACCCTGTCTAACCCCACTGCTCGAATGGAACAATGGAGAGAGGGGGTTGTATGCCCTCACTCTGCCTGAGGTGTTTGTATATAGGGCTTTTAGGATGTTAATGAACTTCTCAAGCACACCCTTCTTCAATAGACAATCCCAGAGAACAGTCCTATCCAACGAATCGAAGACAGCCTTGATGTCAAGAAACGCTACGATTGTTGGCCTTTGATAAGTATGGCGTTCTAACATTTGCCGGAGGGTGAAGATATGATCAATACATCCTCGACCAGAACGAAACCCAGCCTGCCCGTTGCAAGTCAATCTTTCTCGGGTTTTGAACAACCTACGAAGTATGACGGAAGCCGATAGCTTGGACGCAATCGGAAGTAGACTTATCCCCCGATAGTTGTTACAGGAACGACGTGAACCCTTTTTAAAGATAGGGACAACTATCGACTCATTCCATGACGTTGGTACACTCTCTAGCTCCCACACCTTTGTAAACAACGTCGTCAGTTCCTTAGTCAGAAAGTCACCACCATCTTTAAAAAGAGCCGGAGGTAAGTCATCTGGGCCAGGTGATTTGTGGCGCTTCAAGAGTTGGAGTTCCTAGCGGACTTCCGCCTCATTTGGTGGATCAGTCGTCACCGGCCATGGAGGGCAGGACAGTCTGACCGATGCTGCCGAAGCAGCAGGCCAGTTGAACTGCCCTTCAAAAAATTCTACCCATCGTCCAAGACGTCGAAGAATGTTAGTGTTTGGCATCCCGTCATCCTCACAGATTGTTTCGCTCACACCAGAATTCTTACAGCCAGTGGTTTGGATGAGTTGGAAGAGCTTCCGGTAATTACCAGATGCAGCTGCTGCTTCCAGCTCATTAGCACGCTCCGACCACCAGGCTTCTCGGTCCTTACGCAAGCTTTGCCTAATTTCACTACGTAACAACCTTCGTTTGTGGTCAAACTCACGGTCACCCGGAGTAGACCGACGGGCTTCAATGAGTTGTAAGGAACCAGAAGAAACCCTGTGCTTAAAAGCGGGACGTTTCGCAAACCCACAACTGACTGTACCCGCCATTTTCATGGCGTCATGCAATTGAAACCAATGCTCATCTATACTTTTCGGTGGAATGGTAGCTAGCCTAGAAGCTAGCTCGGTTCTATACTTACTTGCAGCAGAAGTTGGAACCAGCTTGCTAACATCAATCCGTTGGTGGCGGTCACTTCGTTGGCCACTGAAAAGTAAGGTAAGATTGGCGCAGACCAAGGCATGGTCAGAGTCCAGATAGGTACTCCAAAAGGAGCGGCAGTCTTGTACACAACCACGCCGGCGGTAGCTGATCGCCATGTGATAAATCTGAGTCCAGGCTTGAGGTGCAGAGGGAGGACGCCAGGTGGCACATCGGCGATGACTGTGCCGAAAGTTAGTGCTAGCCAGAAACAGGTTGTGGTCTGTGCACAGTTGCAGTAGACGGTTCCCGTTATCTGTCCTGCGACTAACAAGTCCCCATCGGCCACCTAAACGACTGTCTTCTGTGCCTAGACGCCCGACCTGAGCATTCGAGTCTCCGACTAGTACTACAATATTTGTCGAACGCACTTTCTGGAGAAGAACAGATAACTGGTGGTAAAACTCATCCTTGATTGCATCCGGGCTGCAATCTGTCGGAGTATAGGCGGAGATGACGAAAAGACATCGTTTCTCACGCCGATTTCTTCTCACTTTGATGGAACTCTGATCTAACAGCACATAACCGACTGTTAATCGGGATCCAATCGATTAGTGCTGCCTCAGCTCTAGCGCTTAGTGCGACACCAACGCCAGCAAGACCAGGCGAAGATGCCACAGGGTCCCCGGATAAACGCACGTGAAACAAGCTTTTTCAAGCGACAGATGGAGAGCGAATTTGTAGTACTTTGAATACGGGTCTCGGATAGACAGCAAACATCGATATTAAGACTTCCCAAAGACATAGCCAGCCCTATCTGTTGTCCGACCTGCATAAATGTGCGAACGTTGAAGGCAGCCAGTTTGAATGGTGCACGTGGTTTCAGAAAAATTGCTTCAGTCCTCGTATTCGGTGGTAACATACAATTTTCAACTGGGCAGTGACTCGAGAACGTTTAGATAGAGTCGAATTTCCACCATAGACGAGCTGCTGTATAAGTCGAAAAAAATAATTATAGACAGAGTGGGAATAAAGGAGGGTGGATAATAACGTAGTAAATAATAATAATAATTGAATCATTTGAATGTTCGTCGAAGCAAGAGAATTAGTTTCCATGATCATAGACAGTTCATTTCATTAATTGTGTGTGGGCTGCGATACTGCCCGGGTGCTCAAACAGAAGCAAGTGGTTATCTTGGGAGGCCACACCCCGAGCCTTTGACCTAATGATCTAACCCACAAGGTAGTGGAGCATCGTGAGGAGATGCAGTCCCATGGTAGCCTGTGACCAACGATTGGTTCATACGCTCATGTGCACCATTGGTTTGGAATCCGGTTAAAGCGTCTGACATTCGCTTTTGGTCCTCTCATTTTCGTAAACAACACCCCTGCCACGAGAAGGTAGTGAGTAGGACTTCCCTGGCAGAGGCTATATATGCGTCGCCATGTGAGAGCATTTCGAGAGGGAGGGCGGGCCCACCCTGCTCTCGGCTATACCAGGGCATTTGGGGGCTAAATCTATGCATAAACGGTTTGTTTTATCGGTTGATTATGAATACAGTGATCTTGAGTGCTGTTAGAGGTATGAGGGTGGTTATCACTTCCCGGTTGCCCACATCGTGGAAGGGTTCTGCTGGAGGTACCTGAAGAGGAAATTGGATTAGAGGTGGTCTTAGTGACCTGAGAGCGTTACTCGTTCGGTCCTGTGCCACAGAAAATTATTCTTCCTTATGGTTTAAATCACATAACCGAAACCATCCTGTTTATCACTAAAGTTCCAATCTGACTTGTTTCTATTTTTCAACATATCTAAGGCTAGCACTTTTATTGTGGATAAATTAGTCACTGATGTTTTAAAGTCAAGGTTTTGTAACTTGGCATCAATGAAATAAAACCAGTCAAGTTATATGACACTAGAATCTACGAAATTGTTTGCGTTAGTACTTATCGAATAGAGTTTACTTACCAGTCAACGGTTCTACGCTACTGGATTGTCATTTGATTAAAACTATCGCAGAACCTGGCCCATTATTTGCCTCCTGATATAGAACAATCCTTGTGCTATAAATAAATATGTGACATCTAGTGTGATATCTAACATGCTTACTTTGGAATTATCTGTACCGGACAAAACCTGATGGTTGGTTGGTTAGATAGATATAAACATCAGTCATAGATCAAGTTAACATAACATACTAGCACAGCATGATGAAACTCAAAAATTTGAATTACTAATGGTAGCAAAGATAAGTTTTAGACAATACGATCCAAAAAAGAATGGGTTTATATACATATGCATGCCATGTCACTTATGAGTTTTGAGAATGAGTTGACACGAGACTCGAAATTCGGTAGACAACTACTCCTGCATCTACCAGGCTCTCCATCACTCAAATTAATTAAGAAGTATACATGTTGTAAACGTGGATCAGTTCCCGAGTCACTAATTTCATGAGCTGACGTCGTGCCATAGTATGACAGTTATCAGACTTTTCATTCACTCACTACTTTGTTTAGCGTATAGATTCATATTCCCCTTATCTCGATAGCCTATCCTTCTCCTTTGTCAAAAAGCATTACCCTTCTTTATTTCACAATTATAGTTGCTAATTATTTTCTCTGTTCATTTCTAACAAAAATCAAACCTATATGTGTTAGTTCCTGTTATCATTTTTAACTAGCTTTTAGAGTGCGTTTACGTAGACAAGGGGATTGTCAAGACATTAGTTGATTCATGATAATTAACACTATCACTTTTCATAGATAATTCTACACATATTTCCCTCAATCTACCTGGATTTCTTATAGATTACAAATCTATCAATAATGTTATTCTATTTATTTAATTCAAAGAGTAATGGCTGATTCGTTAAAGTCCGACTTTCAACCTATAAGTCATATGTACACGCTGCCCCTAACCTAACTTTTAGTTGGGTAGCCAAGTGATATAACGGGTCCTAAATAAGTATCGCTCAAGGATGACTACATGAACCTATAATTTCCAAATGAACTAAATCATATTATATATACTTTATTGTCTTATTTGATGGGGAATTTAACCAAGAAGCTATTTGGCTTAGTTTGTTCATATATTTTGTAGTTATTTGTATTTCGAAATAAATGTTTGACCCATGCTTTTTAATCTTTATAGCTCGATTCGATGACACGTCACTCAAAAAACTGCACAGCTCATACAGTATATACTTATTATGAGCGGAAAAATGATGCACACAGGTCAGGTTTTGGCACCCAGGAAATCCGTTTAGGAAAAGATTCAGTGAAAGCTCTTGATTGTTGCTCTCTTTGTCTACAACCAGCAAAGGATCCTGTCGTTACAAATGATGGATTCCTCTATGATCGAGCAGTAGTTCTGGAGTACATTGTTTCTCAAAAAGCTGAAATTCAACGAAAACTTAAGTTGTATGAAAAACAGAAAGCTCGTCTAGATGCTGAGACAAAAATGATTCTCAAGGCTGAAAAAGAGGAAGAAGCCCGACGATTTCTATCAATGAATACTCTAGATACCCACTCAAAAGCCTCTGCACAAGCTGCTGAAGCAGAAGCTTTGGCCTCATTGTCCAATAAACGCAATGGTTTGAATGAAACAACTTCATGTTTTTGGGCGTCTAGTAGCAAATCAAATGAGAAACTGAACAAAGAACTCTTAGATAAACCTGATACTGTTGTTCGCTGTCCAATGAGTGGCAAACCATTAAGGTATAAAGATTTAGTAGGTGTTAAATTCACTACCTTTGAAGATGACTCTAAGGTCATGGGTTTTGGTCAAGATAAACTGGTAGATCGTGAAGTCAATTATTGTTGTGCCGTTTCCAAGGATCCACTTACAAATGCTACAGTTTGTGTTGTTCTTAAAACTTCTGGAGCAGTAGTTACTAAAGAAGTTGTAGATACTGTAATAAAAAAAGAAATGATTGATCCTATTAATGGTAAAAAAATGAAATCATCTGATTTTATTGAACTTCAAAGAGGATCACTTGGATTTGCTGATGAACGAACATTATTGACTGCTAAACGTGTTAGACCATCAATGCAAACTTGAAAAAAATATTTTTCTTCTTTTATTTTAAACTGTACATAGTTACAAGAATATTTTTTTGTGTACAAAATAAAATATTCATTTATACTTTTTTTCTTTTTAATTTCAGTTAGGGATTGTTTTTATTTGTTTACTGAGATCATGAACTGATTGAATGCTGGCTCAGTGTGTTAAGCGTTCGCGCGCGGGACTGAAGGCCCTGGGTTCGAATCCCGCGAGCGGGATCGCGGATGCGCTCTTCTGAGGAGCCCCACAATAGGGCGAAACGGCCGTCCAGTGCTTCCAGATTTTCAATGGTGGCCTAACATCAATGAGTTCATGATCTCAATCAAAAACTTAACAATCTCCACAACAACTATACTGATAATTATTATTATCCTAGTTACGTTTTCAATTCATTTCTATTCATAACATAGTGGTCTACAATATTACAATTTATTGGATGTTTGAAATTACCAATATATCATATTAATTCGGAACAAATCAGAATTCTGAAAACTCCACATGATTTCTTTCATGGTTTATTGGTATGTATTTTTTAAAATAACATATTCTAAGTTTGATATAAGTCACTCGTTTATGTAGATTAAAATGTATACTTATTCTACATCGAATTTAGTCATGTCATTTCTTCATAGTTTTATATGATAATGATCAACGTCAAGCAGGGATAGGATTCAATGCCTTGTAGTGTGAAAGCTGCTCGAGCACTTACGTCTCCCCGACAGTGCTTGAAGTCACTAACTTCTAGTCCAAGCCATGTTGGTAGATGCAAACTACTTGGTTGGGGTCCGCGTGACTATCGTAACCAATGGTTGGAGACTATGGGTGACACGGCGTCGGTGTATACACCCTTTGTCTTCTTTTAAACGGTGAGATTAAAATCGCTTCATATCTTTCTTTCTACCAACTAATTCTTTCTTCCTGTACTATATCCTCATATGCAATCTTTCTTTTATATATCACCACCTCTGAATTAACTACTTTTATGAGTCCGGTGTTCATCGTGTTGTGTTAATGGGGTATGGCAACTTGGACCGATGCATATATGTGCCTGGTCATACGTTGTAGCTGACTGACTGAATATGATAATGATAGTTTTCATCGAAACATGTTAAGCTTGTTATGGATTAGATTTTATTAAGCCTTATGTATAGATTGTAAGGTGGATCCGTAAAGTTGATTCACGAATACATCCGATTAATTTGCATCTTATGCATGATGTGCCTTAAAAATAACTTTTTTAAGTTAGATGAGAACTTTTTTGTAAGCATTCAAATCTAAAGTGTTACTTTCTTTCTGTTAAAACATAGAAGAACTAAATTATTTGCTGACTATGCAAGTTCGTATTGAAATAGAGAACTAATGATAACTACGAGCAAATTAGTGTGTATGTGATTGGTATAGTTGTGTAATGTTCAACTGAGTTGAGAAAGTGTTCATTTGAACTGCTGTTTACGAAATTGAGAAGACGAAAACTGAGTGTCTGGCGTTCTAACCGGGTTGGTGGACATGGAGAGTTCACCTAGGGGAGTTGGAAAACCCTGACTGCAAACTAATGGTGCACATGGGCTCCAGTATCCTCAAGGAACAAATGGTGTATGAACCAATTATTGTTCACCGGCTACCATGGGACTGCATCTCCTTACGATGCTCCACTGCCTCGTGGATCAGACCTTTGTGTCGAAGGCTCGGGGTGTGGCCTCCTTAGAAAACCACCTGCTTCGGTTTGGGCACCCGGGCAGTATCACAGCCCTCACACATATCAAATGAGAACTGTGTGGTGCATATGTATTTGGTGCCTCCTTGTACCAATATCCATGTGTTAAAATAAATAATCATTTGAACTAAATGTTGCTTTTGTACTTCTGAAAACTAGTTCAAATGTTTATTTAACGTTTAATGAATGAGGTATATTATAAATAAACTTTGATAATTGGATACCGTTTTAGTCAAATATTTCGATTCAGCTTTATTGAAGTTGACTAAAAGACCCTGTAAATGCTGATCATAAATCCAAATATATACTATGAAGTAATGTTAACCAAAATATTAGTATTCAGTCACTTGATATCATATTAGCCTATTCGTTCTAATTAGTCGTCATTACAATCTGTATTGTATTTTTAGCAGATCATGGCAACCGGTCAATCAGCCAGTCTATAAACAACCTATAGCCCGGTACACCTAAGCAACAGTTCGAATTCACATACCACATCATCATAGCAAGATGAAGTAATTAGGACATATCCCAACGTATTATAAATAGTAATGGTATTAATAGTAGTGTAGGAAATGGGGTTTGAAAAAAAGGAATGGATTCATTGAATTGAATGTAAGAGATAATTTTCATGCTAAAGATCTAGGCAAAGACATAGTGTGAATCCCCGTCATCCCGAATGATTCTGAGCCATATCACCGAACATCCCAAACCACTGGTTACGATAATCTCGCCAATCTCAACTTATTAATTTGCACCTACTATCTCGGATCAGTCTTAGAGCGCATAACTTCATTGACCAATACCACGTTTTGGTTTCCCTCTTCTAGTTTTCTCCCAACCTACCGTTCTATCAACAAACTTCGCGCGTCAATGTAGACAGTGGTTCAGGATACTTAACATATGTCTTAACCACCTTAGACAATGGTGGCGACTACCAATTACAATTATCTAATACAACGTCTAGTGCTATAGCGCACTATCAAATGCTCCATGTGAAACAGGATGATAATATTGTAAAGAAATAAGATAGGAAAAAAGTTGGGTAAATTTTGAGATTTGTACTACTACAAATCGACTAAAAAAACAAAATTGATTTATTTAGTCTAAAAGTTGGGTTTTACTGTTTATACTGAATGCAATAAAAAAGTCAGAATGGCATCCTTGGCTTTTGTTTCCAGCCATACTGAAATCACTAAGGTCATGTAGAACTCGACAAAATTGTAGTTTTAAATTAGAAACATGCAAGAAATTTTTTTTCGTACTATGGCCGAAAGCATACTTCTGGATTTAAGCATTGCTAACACAATGTTGCCATCGTATATATAAAAAATCATTTGCAGGCAATGATAATCGGTTACAAAGAGTCTTCACACATCCTCAACTTGAAGTCAGATTTTACAAGTAGTGGACAAGATTAGCTTCACCAACGTGTAGTTTCCATGCATGTAATACTGATAGGAAAAGACCACTGATGTATATTATACAATATGAGAAGGATAAATAAATAATAAGGTAGGGCAAATGATCCTTTTTCATAGGTGATAAAATCGAAGCTCTAGATCTGTCCAGTTATCATGAATGAACTAGCATGTGAAGACAAGAAAAAGTCGTAATCATATAAATAGATTTCACCTCGTCAAACAATCACTCAGATATGAAACTGTTCTTTGATCTGGTAATTTTGGTCCATCATCTTGTAAAGTTTTCATTACTCTTCCCATTTATTTGTTTTGATATACAAGTATACTTTTTTATTAGGATCATATAGAGAATGCAAATAAACGAATTATTTTATCAACATTGTATATTGGAACAGGTCCATTAGAAAATGAATTAGTAAGTTATTTCATTTGGGTAGTAGTAACATTGTGTATTACTTGTTACATGTATTTGTTTTGATGTTATATGTGTATGCATATACGATAATTGACATAAATGCAACATTATGACATCATCTTGACTTGATAATGTTTCATTTAAAGGATTATTTTACGTAGTCAGATCGAGTAGATGAAAAATCCTTCTCAACCTATACTCCATGCTGGTTGGCACTCATTATCGAAGTGTACCTACAATCTTGCGGTAACCGTTCTTTCATACAGAGTTCAAAACCGGTGTCTATTAGCTTTAAATTTGCGGACGTTACTACTAAGTTAATTGAACCGCCACTAACTGATAGAACTGATGTGTATCAACCAGCAAGAAATTTGTGTCCAGCATTTCCTGTCGACCACATTCAACTACAAAGATCTTAAAATAAAATTCACACGTTTTCAAGTCACCTAAACTGGTAGACATGTAACTTGTAAGCAGAGATGGATGTTGGTTAGCAGTGGGATCCAGAATGCTTATTTCATCCCATCCGAGACTCATCGGCTGGACGTTTCTGAAACTCAGAGTTGATGTTCACTCCGGGGTTCGAACCCATCGCGTTATCCTATTATCTACTGAGTAACTTGATTGATAAAATTCGATTAGCACTTAAAGAACTGGACAAACATGATATTTATCACAATACTCAATGTGCAATCACTGCAAAACGTTTCATTCTAGCTGAAACCATCTACATGAAATATGAATTATCAAACTCCTTCTTTTTGCATTTCCATTTTATTCCAGATTAGTGCACTGACAAAAGCTGTTCGTGAAAGAAATGTAAAACTTACTATTCTAATGGATGCAACACGTGGTCAACGTCCTTGTCTGACTACTAAGTATTATACTACAAATGAAAATAAATTATCATCTACTACAAATCTATTGGAACATCCAATTCCATATTCTTCATGTCATTTTTTAGCTCCACTAACTGCTTTACCTAATGTATCAATCCTATTGTATAGTCATCCATCTCCAAACAGATGGATTCGTTACATATTACCGAACCGTTGGAATGAAATATTCGGTGTACAGCATATTAAAGCGTATATATTTGATGATTCAGTTATTATGAGTGGGTAAGTTTACTTCTAATACGTATGAATATGGACTGATCCAGACAATAACATGTGGGTAGTGACCTTGACCAGATAAATTATTCGCTTGTAGTGAATACGGACACCAGTGGGGAACAATCGAATGTATCTAATACGAAATTACAGGACTTGTTAATAAAATCTAACAGTCATAAAGTAAATGCTTAATTTGCAAAATGTCCACTAATTTTCTCAAAATGATTCAGACTTCATTGTTCTTGCATTTTCATACAAATTGCATCCTGTTCCATTCTCTACTGTTAAATCCTCTTGTCTCTCTGCTACCAGACCTTCTGTTCACGACTAACATCATCTACTACTTATGTCAATATAAGTAGCACACACCACAGCTTACAATAGGCTTTTCATTCACTTTCTATGTAGATTTGGTACATCCTTTCGTCTGTCACGCCTTCGCTTGCATATCACTTTCACTATGATTTTCAAATTATCTGATTACGTGTTTAATAATAAACTGACTAAAGTTTAAATTAAAACTCCTGTATAAACATTATAAGAAGGTTCGCTTGAAATAAATTATAGACTAGACATGAAATGTTTCATCAATAGTATGAAGTCGAATTTTTCTAATTATACACCCAAGTGGTAAATTTGTAGTTATTGAGAATTAGAAGAGAGCGTTTATCACGGAGTAATAGTATCTAGGAGAGCGAATGCCCTGGTACGGCGGTGAGTGAGGAGAGTCAGCTCTCTCTCTTTCAAATGCTCTCACATGGTCACGCGTATATAGCCTCTGCCAGAGAAGTCTTACTCACTACCTTCTCGCGTCTTTACTGTTGTTTCCGAAATTGAGAGGACGAAGAACGAGTGTCCAGCGCTTTAACCCAGTTGGCGGACACGTAGAGTTCATCTAAGAGAGTTAGAAAACCCTGATTTCAAACCAATGGTGCACATGGGCTCCAGTATTCTGAAGGAACAAATAGCGTATGAACCAATCGTTGGTCACCGGCTCACAGGTGTAGACTATCTGGTTGGGGACCGCGAGATGATGGCAACCGGTGGTTAGAGACATGGCTCAAAATCGTTTGCAATGGCGCAAGTGCATCCACTCTTTGTGTTCTCCCAAATTCTAATCTTCTGAATTCTTCGTATCCCTTATTTTCTTTCCAAATTTATTTCACTGTATTATACTTCTTGAATAACATCTTCAAACCCTAATCTTTCCGATTACCGCTTATACTCTTAATTCCTCTACCACTACGGGATTTGAATCGACAACTGCATCTCTGTTCTAATGTAGTATGGCAACTCGAACTGATGTACGTACGTACGAAGTTCTACGTTGTTACTGACTGACCATGGGACTGCATCTCCTGACGTTGCTCCACTGTCTTATGGATCAGACGTTTAGGTCGAAGGCTCCGGATGTGGCACCCTAAGAAACCCATCTGTTTCGGTCTGGGCACTCGGTCACTATCTAAGCCCTTACACAAACTGAATGACTTGTGTGGCACATCTGTTTGTTGCCTCCTTGTACCAATGTTGATATGTTTGAATAAATAAATAACTAATGGTTATCTAACTAAACTAATTTCAGAATTGTAACAAACTATCTACCACCAATCCTCATTTATGCTATATATTTTTTTCTCTATTCTAAATTTTTTTAGGGCAAATTTAAGTCATGAATATTTTACCAATCGACAAGATCGTATATGGATATTTAAAAATTTTCCAAATTTAGCCAATTTTTATTCTGATTTAATTCATAATGTTATTAGTAAATTTTGTTATACACTATGCTCAAATGGTAGTTTAATAGCTAATCATTATGATATTGTTTCAGGTAAGTAATTGAATGAATTTATTGATTGTTAAGTATTGTTCATTTGTTTCCATGTTTACTTGAATGATGAGTATATTTCAATTCATTGGATCCTGACGCGTATACATCATGTGCCAGGGAAGTCCTACCTACTCACTGCTTTCTCGTGGCGGGGGTGTTGTTTACGAAAATGAGAGAACGAAAAGCGAATGTCCGGCGCTTTAACCGGATCCCAAGCCAATGGTGCACATGGGCTCCAGTATCTTAAAGGGACAAATGGCGTATGAACCAATCGTTGGTCACTGGCTACCATGGGACTGCATCTCCTCACGATGCTCCACTGCCTTGTGGGTTAGAACTTTAGGTCAAAGGCTTGGGGTGTGGTCCCCTAAGAAAACCACCTCCTTCGGTCTGGGAAACCGGGCAGTATCACAGCCCATACACACAAATATGGTGTGGCGCATACATATTTGGTGCCCTCTTGTACCAATATTTATGTGTTCAAATAAATAATAAAATGAACATTAGGTCATCTTATCAAGTGGAATGTTCTTTTTTTTAAAAACTTCTATTTACATTCTTATTCTCATCGCCCCTTTCATCGTACAATAAATTAAGACAGATTTAATATTCCAATCGATGAATATTTGCAATAACCTTTTAACGAGTTCATGTTAAGGTGGATACCACTATAAAATACCGATATATCTAGTCACGGTGACTGGTAATTAGCAAACGTGTTAAGACAAACATGTTCAGCTGCATTAAATATAAGAGTCTAGTGTATATCATTAAATTCATTCTACTTATTACTGGTTACTTTGTAATGTTCTCTATTCACTGTTGCGGTAGTCTATATCTGGTTCTTGATCGATCAACCAATCGTACTAGTGAACGATTGTTATATCATGTGATCAAGTGTTTAAGCTAATAAGGTACATAATGTCAATTCTTTTTACATTGCAATAAATCTTTTATTTTATCTATTCAAACACATATATAGTGGTATGGGAGTGCGCCAAATATATATGCGCTACACAAAACAATGAGAATCATAAAGAAAATTTAAAAAAAAACAGTAACGAAGAGATTAGTGTAAGGTAGTGTAACAATAATGATAATAGTAGGGGAACAGAAGGGTACAATCAGAGGAAATCTTTCAGTTGAGGAAGATACAACCACTTTTTATGAAGAAAGTAAAAGAAGGTTACAGCAGGATCGCCACTGGCTTCTATTCTGAGCCATATCTGATAACGTCTCTAGCCACTGTGTAGCACCATCTCTCGGACCCCAACCAGGGAGTCGTGAAGGACCGACACAAACTAGTCCTTTGCAGCTTTCTTTCATACCACGACATCGTGTCATATACTGACCACCTCTCCACTTTTTCCAACCAGTCCCAGAGTCGGGATGGATTAGAGGTGGTCTTAGTGACCTGAGAGCGTAACCGCAGTGCTTGAGGTCGATTACACACGACCTTTTTATGAGTAGTTCCTGTGTTAGCTCCGTACTTGTTGAGACCTTACCACCGGAGACAGATATCTGTGAGATAAGGCGAGGTGTGCTGTTTTAGGGTCGATCTTTTCTAAGCCCCCACTACTCCTTGTGAGAAGGCAGTATCGCTGTCATGCTTGTTGTCTGAAAGAAACACCTTACTGCTGTCACACCTCTGTACAGTCAGCAGTACGTCTTCACCTTCGGGTTTGTTGCTTTTAGTCTTCAGCCGACCTATCTGATATGGTAGGGTCTTGAGGAACGGTTGTTGCAGGCAGTATAGCTCATTTGCTTCATCACGATACGTAAGGCCGACCACCACGTCACTGTAGCAACAACGGTCGGCATTATTTGTATTGGTCTTGTTTATCATTACCACGACGCGCAATGCTAACTGGTGTTGGAGACTTTTGGAAGAAAGTTAGGGAGAGCCAAATCAAAACTTGTCAGTCATTGAAGTCCCTAACTTCTAGTAGATCACGTGACCATCGTGACCAATAGTTGGAGACTGTGTGACATGGCTCAGAATCAATCAGAATAGTGTAGGTGTATACACTGTCTTCCCTTAAACCGTGAGATTAAAATTACTTAATAATTTTCTTGATATAAACTAATTCCTTATACACAATCTTTATTTTTGGTACATTACTACCATTGAAGTAACTACTATGAATTTGGTGTTCATCTTGTTGTACTAATGAGGTATGGCAACTTGGACCGATGCACTTATGTGCCTGATCCTACGTTGTAGCTGACTGAAAACTTTTTAAAAACTAAACAATTCCTCATTACTTTTATGTTTTTTTTTTGTTTATTTCTGTTTGCTTTCCTTCCTTATCGCTTACTATTTTTGTTTCAAAACATTTTTCTTCTAGCTAGTTCATCTTCATTTCGACAACAATTTCATAATGCTTTATCTACATTTCTAATCAATAAATATCAAGATAGTATCAATCATTATAAATTGAATCCAATAAATAAATCAATAAATGATACTTATATAATTCCATTATTACAATATGGTTATTGTAATATTCAATATGAGAAACAATTTATGCAATCATTGTTTCAATATGTTACGTCATCATCATCTTCTTCGTCGTCGTCGTTATCTGATCTAATTCATCATGAATCTTTCAAATTATTCTTAGCATCAGGTTATTTTAATTTAACAAAATTATATGAAAAATTATTTTTTAACATGTTGAATTCAACAATACATACACCTATTCATTTATTATGTGCTTCACCGACGGTAAATGAAAACATTCTTTTCTTTTCTCTTCCTATTTTTATATTATATTTCAATCAGTCTTTATTGCCATATAGAGAGTTACCTTGTCATGTATTCCTTTAGTGTTACAAGTTTCATTAGTAAATAATAATTCGTTAGAGTTTGAAGTAATAGAGGTGGTACCTAGGTTTAAGTCTCAGTATAAATGATCAATACGGTGATCCAGGTAAATTCAATTGATGACTACTAGTCTTATATGTATGTTATTGGTTTTGTAATGCTAGTCACAACGTAAAATTTTATATCAGTATAGGGTTGTGGAAATTTTAATAAGTTATTGATTGAGATCATGAACCGATTGATGTTAGACCACCATTGAAAGCACTGGACGACCGTTTCGTCCTATTGTGGTACTCGTTTGCAGTGCGTATTCACGATTCTGCTCGCGAGATTCGAATTCAGAACCTTCAGTCTCGCGCACGAACGCTTAACCTACTAGACCACTGAGCCGGCCGTCATCCAGCAATGCAACCATCTTCTCACAATAGGACAAAACGGCCGTCCAGTGCTTCCAGGTTTTCACTGGTGGTCTAACATCAATCAATTCATGATCTCAATAAAATTTTATAATCCTTTCTTTTGTTTCCCTATTTTATGTTTATCGTCATTAAAAATGAGTTTCACTAGGTAATAATTAGTTACAGTAATAATAGCTGCAAAATATTGAGATTAATGATTGAGTCGAAGGTTATCTCTTAATCCGGTTCCATCTATTTTACTTAAGGCAACTGGATAATACTATTATCCATCTTACAAAAACAATGGAGCTTAAAGCTCAATACGTAGACCTGTAGTTAACAAATGAGTTTATTATTCATATTACAAGTTGAAACAAATTTGGAATCTGTAAGTTGTATTTGTCATAGATAGGGTACCAGAAAAGATGAGGGACATCCTTCATCCTTGTATGGAAGTCCTCAGCAGTGCGCATCCATGATACCACCAGAGATCGAACCTAGAACTTCTAGGTATTACTGCGAAGCCTTGACCATTAGAATCACTAGGTTGGCATTCTATCGTATAATTTCAACCTCAATCAATTTAAGATTTAGAGCGACAACCATCATATGCCATATTATAAAAAAACGGTTGTCCAGTGCTCCTTGTTCTCTAATGTCAACCCACCCGATATTAATCTGTGACAAATACAGCCAATAAATCAGACTAATCTTCACAAAACACCTTCAGTTAAATTTGGAAAGTGTCGAACCCAATAGTTGAATTCTGTATACTTCAATGAATAATTCACTAATTTGTTATAGTGGCTGGCATCGATGTCTTGAATGCGGTGAGACTATAATTTATAAATGACTTTCGAGCGACGCTAGACTGACCTTGAGGTCGTCAACCTAACAATCAGGACCAATTGATGGTTATAAATTAGTGTGAGAAATTTGAATTATGATTTAGAGTTGGTGGTTACGGTTAGGAATTAGATTTAGGGTTTTCATCACGAAATGGCATCAGCTATAGTGCCAAGACTCTATTTAGCTAAATGAATGAGTAAATTTCGCGCCAAAATCCGAGACCTGTTATCGTATACCTGATTGGTTCGTCCATAAATCATAGTCTCGCCTTATTAATTACTAATCTCAAAAAATGTGTACCATGATACTTTTGGCTTCTAGTTCTAACAAATATATATATTAATGTCCCACTGATCTGACTCTCATTTGGATGGACGTATGAATGTGCTATGAACATAAATCTTCCATTCAACTCCATATATTACCTAGGCTAACCCTGTTTGTTTGACGGCGGTGATGAGATGCCAAATACAGGTTGCGTTGAATGAACTTATTTCATATACTCATTCAATTATACAGGCATTCAGAATGAAAGGGGGAAAGCAAAGTGGAGACGACAAGTGTCCCAACGCGTTTTGATGAAGCGTGGTTCAATTTTTATAGTCAAATAAAAGTAAACTAAAGACGTTATGAATAGGGAAGCGGTACGCACACATATCCTCACACAAAAACAGTCAAGGTTATATAAGTGAATAGTTGACCAAGTCAAAATGTGACTTGAAAAGAAGGCATAAATTGGTCTGTCAGGACGCTAGAATAACCTATATGGGCTTGTCACGGTACTAGACACTACTATGTATATATGGAGAGAGAGTTATCCAACTCGTGTACAACACAAAAATCTTGAATAGAGCAAGAACAAAGATTGGTGCAGAATAATATGAATTCATTTTATTTCGTTAGGTTCTCATCAGCTGCTTACAACCTAAATTATTTGAAATTCAAATTATAACAGATATTGACATATTTATACATAAGAGTGTGAATAAGGATCAATACATGTGTATGATGATGTAGCAAGCAAAGATTCATATAGAGTTAATGGGCTCATAAAAATGTTTGATTCGAATAAATCAATAAAGTTAGAGAGGGAAAGTTCTGGAACATTGAAATAGTGATTAGAACTTATGAAAATAGATTAATAGTAATAAAGAAAATATGAATTAAAATCAATCATTTATGTATGATGTAATTTAAACTTCAGAAAGAGTTGGAAGATGGGGAATGACGTAATAAATAAATAAATAAATAGGAGCAAATGAATAGAAAGGGTGGGGATTATTGTTACCAGGGTAAAGAAAGATTTATTACTGTCTTTTTTTGTATACATAGATCTGGTTTTAAACGTTTGATTGCTAACGCTTCAGCGAATTTCAAAAGGTTGGAGTTTGATTGTTTGTTAATCACCTTGAAGGACTTCAGTATATCAACTTCATGTCCTGTATCAAGGAGATGTCTTGCGATAGCACTGTTGAATGCGTTCAATCCATTTAACCTTAAACTTTTCGGAATATGTTCTTTGAATCGGGCGTAGGCTCTCCTTTCTGTTCTACCAATGTAACTGCTTTGGCAGGTACATGTAAATTTGTATACACAGTTGGTTGTAACATGAAAGGGATACCTGTCGACCTTTGACACAATCAAAGGTATGTTCCAGAACTTTCCCTCTCTAACTTTATTTATTTATTCGAATCAAACATTTTATGAGCTCATTAACTCTATATGAAACTTTGCTTGCTACATCATCATACTCATGTATTGATCCTTAATCACACTCTTATGTATAACAAATGTCAATATATGTTATAATTTGAATTTCAAATAATTTAGGTTGTGAGCAGCTGATGAGAACCTAACGAAATAAAATGAATTCATATTATTCTGCACCAATCTTTGTTCTTGCTCTATTTAAGATAATAAAGGGAACTATGTGTATGAAATTTCACAAAAATCTTGATTATTATTCAGTCAATGTATTAAGAAGTTTCAATGGTTAAGACCATGAGTCAGTTGAAGTTAGACCACCATGGAAAACCTGGAAGTACCGGACGGCTGTCTCGTCCTATTGCGGGACTCGTCAGCAGTGCGCATCCACGACCCCACCCCTGCGGGATTCGAACCCAGGACCTACTGGTTCAGAGCGCGGGCACTGAGCCGGGATCCAACAGTGTTAATGTCTAACTTCAACTAATCTACGAAATTGAGCGACACATCCACCATTGTCATCGGTGAGTTACTATCTCACAACAGATCTGGTTGAACTCCACTGGTCACTACTTCTCACTAGAACTCCAGGATATACCTCTTGAAGCCAGTCACTAGTGAGCATATGTTGATTAATATGAGATGGGTTTTGTGTATATTATAGTAATTTCAATGGTTAAGATCATGTATCAATTGAAGCTAGACCACCATGGAAAACCTGGAAGCACTGGACGTCCATTTCGTCCTATTGAAATTACTATAATATTCACAAAGCCCATCTGGTATTAAGAAATGACTGATATAATTTATGACTTTTATTTTAAGGAGAGTAGAAAGAAAATGGATTCTTATTGACATATGAGATTCATTATGTCTGGATAAAATAAACATCTCCGCATCAATCTTAAATGATTTAAACACCACACAAACGTTCAATGAGACTTTTCAAAAGTTAAAAGCTGTTTGGCACTACTGTTTTGAACTTCGTGTAAAAAACCCAAGTTATGTTTGTTTTGATTGATTTGATAATGATAGATAGTTTTATCTTAAGGGTTCACTACTTCAGATATTTAATTTCTAATCAGTTAGATAACATGAGTTTGAAATATCTTCTAGAATTCTTATCGGGAAGTTGTTACCATTTAATTCTATAATTAAGGTAGGTCAAATGATTTAGTCGAATTCTAAATTCACTTGGTGTTGTTTTACTTGTATCTTCCCATTGTTATTTAGGACCATAATGAATCAGTCTCTTGTTAGCATATGTGCATCCTGTGCGGATCGCTTCGATATTTCCTTAAGTTACAAGCATTTTAAGAAAAGATAGATATTAGCTAGCATTGGAATTCATGATGCGCGGTTCGTCCTACTTAGGACTTGTCAACTGGATGTACTTCCATCCTAGCAGTTGATGTCCACGGTATTGGGTTCGAATCCCTGAGCGAACATTAACCCTGGGATGCTGGTACATCTAGCTGACGAATCCCTAATAGGACGAAACTCGTATCCTGGATTCCACTGCTAGTTACTATCCATAGTCAAATTCTGCTGTGTTAGAAAATTATTTATAAGGGGTAATTGTTTTTTTTGTAAAATCTTTTCATTTGAATGCTGATTTTTACTCAATATGCGTTAGGAATTATATATTTGTTTTAATCAATATCATAATTACACCTATTTCAGGCTAATGGATTTCTCAAGTCGAAAGGTGCTTCCGGTTATATACCATTAGCTTATAGAGAAGCACTTATACAATTGCTTCAATTGTTTCATACTACTAAATTCAATCATAATAATATCAATGTTTATGAATATATTAGACCAGAATGGACATTTCATGCTAAAGGTTTATGGATTGAAAGTGTCGATGATGATAATAATAATAGTAAGAAGGAAAAGAATACTGATGATCATCATCATCTTTCATACAGTTTATCTTTAGTTGGTTCATCTAATTTCAGTTATCGTTCCTTAAATCGTGATTTAGAAAGTCAATTATGTATTATTACAACGAATAGTAATTTATGTCAATCTATTTATAATGAAAGATGTCATATTTTCTCATCGATTTATTGTTCTCCTGTCACTTTAAATCAATTAATTTGTCAAACTGAATATCGTTTACCTGTATATATGAGATTTATACTACCAATATTTCGTTGGTATATGTAAATTGTTATTTATTCTCGATTTTCATATGTATTAGTTTCATTGTTGTTTTTCTTCTTTTCTTTAAAAGTTTAATCATTAACGGATCAAATAACAGTTAAGGTTAAGTGAAACTACCATCATTGTAAATCAATTATCATAGTTAGCAAAGAAAACTTACTTCAGATAATCATATTTGTGTACCATGAACGACAGCGGCCCTCCCACGCATTAACTATTTATTTATTTAGACACATAAATACTGGTACAAAGAGGCACCAAATACATATGCGCCACACAGATCTAATTTGATATGTGTGAGGGTTGTGATACTGTCCGGGTTCCCAGACCGAAGCAGTTGGTTTTCTTAGGGGACCACATCCGGAGCCTTCAACCTAAAGGTTTGATCCACAAGGCAGTGGAGCAACGTCAGGAGATGCAGTCCTATGGTAGCCGGTGATCAACGATTGGTTCATACGTCATTTGTTCCCTGTAGCCCATATGCACCATTGGTTTGGAATGAGGGTTTTTCAACTCCCGTTGGTTGACTCTCCGTGTCCACCAACCCGGTTAGAGCGCCGGACATTCGATTTTCGTCCTCTCAATTTCGAAAACAACAGTAACGACGCGAGAAGGTAGTGAGTAGGACTTCTCTGGCAAAGGCTATATACACGTGATTATGTGAGAGCATTTGGAGAGAGAGAACAAACTGTTTCCACTCCCGGCCTTACCAGGGCATTTGGGGGTCCACGTATTAACTAGAAGAAATTTATTCACTTAATAATTAAGATTGTAATAGTTTTATGTCAAATTTCATCGGACGTTTTTTATACAGTAAATGATTATATAAAGTTATCTTTTTTTGTTTCCAGCAGTTGATTTATATGATGAATAATCATCAATTTAGATTTCCAGTAGTCGATTCATATTTATCACTATCTCCAATGTGTTTAAGCTTTTCATAGATGTAATTATCTCCCCCACCCCGAAAATGCTCTGGTATGGCCGAAAGTGGGGAGAGTCCGCTCTCCCACTCAAAATGCTCTCACATGAGCGCGAGCAATTCTGACATAACAGTGGACACAGAGAGTCCACCTAGGGGAGTTGGAAAACCCTGATTTCAAACCAATGGTGCACATGAGCTCCAGTATCCTAAAGGAACAAATGGCGTATGAACTATTTCTTGGTCACCGGCTACCATGGGACTGCGTCTCCTTACGTTTCTCCACTGCCTCATGGATCAGACGTTTAAGTCGAAGGCTCCGAATGTGGCCTCCTAAGAAAACCACCTTCGGTCTGGGCGCTCAATCAGTATCACAACCTATACACAAACCAAACGACTTATGTGGCGCCTATATATTCGGTGCCCATTTGTACCAATATTTATGTGGTCAAATGGTTAACTTATCGTCCTATACCAGATCACTTGTTTTAAATTCCCCTATTTGTTTTTTTGTCAATGTATTCCACCAATTTAAATGGAATATTGTAACTGTACATTTAAAAGTTATATGAAACACGTAAGAGCAATTTATTACCTAATCAAATATACACTCAGAGAATATTTGGCATAACTATAGCGATCAATAACAGTTTATCTCAAACAACTGTTGTTGATTTCTCCCGAAATCTTGTCACGGATTCAGAAAGCTCGGTTAGAGTTAACCAGCTTGACTCACTTATGGCGTAGTCGAGATTTCCGTCTCCTAACAAAGTAGCGTGTGTATTCAGAATTCTGCTCTGTTCCACTTTAGAGTTGTGAAACACGTTCAATGAAAGTAGATATTCGTAGGTTCTTGAGCATAGATGTCTTCGAAGAATTGCTCGAGTGTCGTGAAATGACTGAATGAGAGATACTGAGGTTAGGCATAAGGTAGTTGGCAAGTCGCTCGATGAAGCAGTGAATTTATTTATTACGTATGTCCACCTAATGACTACCTCAACGCGCAATGATGGTTAGTGTAGTAGATCGGAAAGCTAGGAGAGGCCAAATCAAAACATGACATCAGTCCATGAGGTCATTGACTGAAGGCGTGATTAGGTATGTGGATGGTATTTGATTGAAGTCCGCGATTTGTGGCCGTTGAAATCACCGAGAATCGTTCACAGATCAATCCATTCTTTATCTTCCTGTTGAGTTACAGTACTACTTCATACATACCTTTTAACTCGGTCCTTTCAAACCACCTTCCCAAGATATAGTTTTTCTTATCATTGCTACTATATCGTTCCGATTTCCCTATTTTCATTTCATCGTGCTAACAAATATGGCAACTTTGGTTAATGCACATCTGTGTCATTCTCTATGTCTACTTTAAACACCCGTCACTTTGATTCAGTCTGATCTTGATGTGCCTGCATCCAGTTAATTGCGAATCAATGGAAATTGTATTCTTATAAATATGATTGTTACACAAGATCATCTCATTACTATTCGGTACATGTGTCCAACTCTCGTTTTTGACTAGTTAACTATACCCACTTCATATATTTATACTTCATGAGTAGATGAAGTGTTAAATGTCATGTTTTACTTGTCTTGTGGTGTATGCTACTTATGTCTGTCGACATAAGTAAGATATAACACCAGTCGGGAGTGGAAGACTTGACAGAAATCTTTGAAGAAAACGGAATTAGAAAGGAATTGTGAGTCGGAAGAATCATACAGAATGTAAACGACAAATGACGGAAATTTGCAATTGAAGTATTCAATGGATAGTTCTCATATTTTACCAAGATACTCTATCCCCGTTTGTATTATTGTTCACAACAGTTTTGGCTAGTTATACTTAGACTTTCATACGACAGTCTAAAGTACGAGTTTGAAAAGAATGCCTGTAAATAAAACAAAGTGGTTAATTACCTTATAAATTCTAAGCAATGAGAATTGGACAATTAATTAGTTTGTGAATTGAAGTGATGGGTATTATACATTACAAATTTCATTACATTAATTCCTCGATATCCTATACTAATCCAATAAGATAGGAAGAACCTGAGGATGAACCCAGTGGTCTTGAGTGCTGTTAGGTGTATGAGGACGGTTATCACTTCCTGGTTGCCCACATCGTGGAAGGGTTCTTCTGGAGGTACCTGAAGAGGAAATTGGATTAGAGGTGGTCATAGTGACCTGAGAGCGTAACCGCAGTGCCCAAGGGACAACTACTTGAGGTCGGTCACACACGACCTTTTTATGAGTAATTTTTATGCTAGCTCCGTACTTGTTGAGACCTTACCGTGTGGTGTTCGGGCTTTCCTATCATGATGAAGCAACCGAGCTATAATGGCTGCAACAACCGTTCCTCAAGGTCCTACCATATCAGATAGGTCGGTTGAAGAGCGGTAAGACTAAAAGCAACAGACCCAAAGGCGAAGTCGTACTGCTGACTGTAAAGAGGTGTGACAGCAGTAAGGTGTTTCTTTCAGACAACCAGCATGACAGCGATACTGCCTTCTCACAAGGAGTAGTGGGGGGTTAGAAAAGATCGACCCTAAAACAGCACACCTCGCCTTATCTCACAGATGTCTGTCTCCCGTGGTAAGGTCTTAATAAGTAAGCTAACACAAAAATTACTCCTAAAATGGTCGTGTGTGACAGACCTCAAGCAGTTGTCCCTTAGGCACTGCGGTTAAGCTCTCAGGTCATTAAGACCACCTCTAATCCAATTTCCTCTTCAGGTACCTCCAGAAGAACCCTTCCACGATGTGGGAAACCGGGAAGTGATAACCGTCCTCATACCTCTAACAGCACTCAAGCCTGACTGAACTGAAATGGTTAAATAAATGATAATAATAATAATTCTTGTTTGTTTTAATAAATTATTGTACTTATCGATTTTATTTCTTACCAATTAACTGACTTTATGTATAGTAACGAAATACCTTTGTATGATTGAAGTTTAAAACAACAAACAATAAAAGTCAGTCACTAACAACGCAGAATATCGTATGTACGTACATCAGTTCGAGTTGTCATACCACATTAGCACAGAGATGCAGTTGTCGATTCAAATGCCGTAGTGATAGAGGTAGTAAAAGTGTTTGAAGATGTTATTCAAGAAGTATAATCCAGTGAAATAAATTTGGAGAGAGAAAAAAAGAAAGGAACATGAAAAATTCAGAAGATTAGAATTTGGGAGAACACAAAGAATGTATGCACCTGTGCCATTGCAAACGATTTTGAGCCATGTCATTTAGGGTCGCTAACCATCGGTTGCTATCATCTCGTGGATCCCAACCAGGTAGTCTACACCTGCCAACATGACTCAGTCAACTTGTCAGTGACTCCATGGACTTGTGCCATACAACTTATTCAATTCATATTCATTAGAAAACTATTTGTCATTTAATAATTTTGGTTTATTTATTAATACATTGATTATATATTAACCAAGTTAATCATTACACATTGTACTTTAAAAAATCAATTATGAATCATTTCATTGCACATAAGAATTATACATTCAAGATTATTATTCATAAATATGACCATTACATTCCGATTTAGAAGACATCCATGCCTCGATTTCTTCAATAGTCCGTGGAACGTCTGTTAACAATTCATAACCAGTTTCAGTGACAATAATATTATCTTCAATTCTTACCTAGAAACAATTGAAATATCAAATAATAAAGGTGTCTAGAATCAAATTACACTATTTCAACATGACAAAATATTTACAAAGGCTTAAATGACAACGTCACGTAGCATATTGATTCCATGGGGAAAATCTTCATTACTTTTATTAAATTGGTGTTTTACCAGAAATGAAAAGGTTCATCTCTATTAAAAGTATATTAGAAGATAAGAAACATACACTGATCGCTGACTATCATAGGAAACAAAATGCTGGTGTGTTGATTAAGAAAATTCTACCAACACTAAGCATCAGACTAAAATGATATCCATCTAAGCATTTCAGTTTTACGAGAGGTCAGTCATGGTTAAACGTGACAATAGACGATATAGGTTAGGATATCAGAGTGCAGTACATTCTACTAATAAGTGTAGACTATCATGAAACGTATACTAAGCCTAGCATCCTGACAACAGACGTATATAGTCGCAT